GTTAATTTTACCCTCAGATCACTGGACCCAGAAAAATTGCCATGTATCTGTTTTCTTCTGTAAGCGTACGTTCAGAATGCACCGAAGCCTTGCCAATAGCATTGTTTTATAAATGCACCTGCATCCAGAATTCTTCTTAGCTTCATTCGCTGTGTTTCTGTTTGTAACTTCTGTTGTCGATGATCTCAAGCACATTTGGAAAAATTCTTGATTGTTGCACCTCTGGCAGTCGCTCGCGGCAGCCAGTTTGAGAACCTCTGGCAGACCCTCGTGGCACCTTCTTCTTCTCTTCTTTTCTTCTTCTTCTTCTTCTTCTCTTCTTTCTTCTTCTTCTTCTTCTTCTTCTTCTTCTTCTTCTTCTTCTTCTTCTTCTTCTTCTCTTCTTCTTCTTCTTCTTCTTCGTCTTTTTCTTCTTTCTTTTCCTTCTTTTCCTCCAACTTCTTCTTCTTCTTCTTCTTCTTCTTCTTAGTCTTTTCTTCTTTCTTTTCCTTCTTTTCCTCCAACTTCTTCTTCTTCTTCTTCTTCTTCTTCTTCTTCGTCTTCTTCTTCTTTCTTCTTCTTCTTTCTTCTCCTTCTTTTCCTCCTCCTTCTTCTTCTTCTTCTTCTTCTTTTTCTTCTTCTTTCTTCTCCTTCTTTTCCTCCTCCTTCTTCTTCTTCTTCTTCTTCTTCTTCTTCTTCTTCTTCTTCTTCTTCTTTCTTCTCCTTCTTTTCCTCCTCCTTCTTCTTCTTCTTCTTCTTCTTCTTTCTTCTCCTTCTTCTCCTTCTTTTCCTCCTTCTTCTTCTTCTTCTCCTTCTTTTCCTCCTCCTCCTTCTTCTTCTTCTCTTCTTCTTCTTCTTCTTCTTCTTCTTCTTCTTCTTCTTCTTCTTCTTCTTTTCTTCTTCTTCTTCTTCTTCTTCTTCTTCTTCCTCTTCTTTACCTGTTCTTGTACAGTATCGGTATCGAGAGAGATACAAGGTTCTCTTTTTCTGGCCGCCGTGACTATAGACACATGGTGCTGCTGAAGAGTTCTCTGATGTTATCTGTCCATATCGATCTCGGTCTCCCTTTTTTCTTTGAGTGTATGCCATGTGTAGTATAACGTTGTAAGGCATTATTTCTAAGTTGGAAAAATATTGTTTTAATTTTAATTTAGTATTCGATTTTTACATCTTCTTCCTTTCCTTTACGTCCTTTTTTACCGCTTAGGGTGTCGAGGGAGATCTAAGGTCCTGATTCATGATCTTCTGGCTGCCTGGACAATAGACACATTGTGTTTCTCTGATGGTATCCTCCCATATTGTTCTTGGTCTACCTCTTGCTCTACGTCCCTCTCCTCTTTTGGTATATGCCTAGAATGGTATATCATCAAGAGGCATTTTTCCAATTGGGCAAACCATTTGATTTGCTGTACTTGTATGTAATGTAGAAGGTATTCCTTCTTTTACCTTTCTCACACATCTCACCTCCAAGGGTACTAATTGTCTGTTCTGGTTTGTTGCGAGTCACTGGTAACAGAAGATGGGAAAGAATATACTTTGTATGAAATGTTTCTTTGTGCTGATCGAGATTGTCTTATGATGTAAAACGGAAGCGAGACGTTCCACGCGATATTTATTTGAAGCACCAGATCTCCATTTGTTTCTCTTTTTCTAATTAATTATCATAATTAGGCTAGGTACTGTATCGCTCCCTTTCTCCTAGTTAACATCAATGTTTCTATGAATGTATTTTTGACAAGAGTTGTAGCTTGGGGTAATTGGATGTGACCACAGTTGAGGTGATATTAACAAGCAAATGAACACAGCGCACACTGATGTAAAACCTAGAGAAATCATGGGTGGAGCTGCATGCGGTAGCAAGTGATAGGACGACTTCGTATCGGTTGGCTGTGAGCCTATGCTCCATAGCAAAATAAGGGAAGAAGAAAAAGAAGAAGAGAGGACCGACTTTACTTCCCATCCATAACCTAGTACTCATCTGTGGATTAGTGGGTGTGGCAACCAAGATTATGAGAAAAAAATCCACCTATCAGTTTATACGGAACTTTCCCATAATTCTATAGTGGCCTACTCTAGAAGCCAACGAAGAAGGGTTCCTCTATTGGTGGTGCATGAGACAACTTGATTACTAGTCCGTCTACCGTTTCTCCTGCAGTTTGAGTGTCATTCAAGCACTCTGTCCATCTTGTGCTTTTTCAGTCTCGCCAGCTGTTGATGCTGGACTGAGTTCCACGACCGCATGATGCTAGGCTACCACTGAAGCAAACACACTCCTTCAACTGCTAACTACACATCGACAGCTTAGGACATTTTAACTTTGTTCACTGCATCGATTAGAACATAATTCTTCTTCTCTGTTCACCGGCTGTGAGCGCCGGTAGAAAGTCCTGGTCGTTCGTCCGTTTGAACTTTGTGCCAGGGCCTGAGTTTTTCATGTAAGTGCCGTTTACTGCTTTATTTAGACAAAATTGATTATATGCCGCTCGGACAGATACACTTCGACTTTGAAGGAAGTCGTCATTGGACGACTCCTACGACATGCTTGTTGGGAAGGCCGTTTGTCTATTCCAGTTTTCCCTACAATGGGGCCTAAGAATCCACACGGGAAAACCCTAATTTGAGTTTTCAGTCATTCTAATTTATTTATTTTTTTTATTTCAAATAACACACCATTCAGTCATTCACCAATAATTCAAAAAAATACATACACCCTTCAATATTTCACTTACCCTTGTATTAACTCAAACATATTTCACTCACCTATTTCATACATCAGTCAATCATTCACACATCTGGAACATTTTAAAATTATGCATCCATCCCTGTAAACACTGGAACCCTTATACTAATGCACTCATTTCTACAACATTTCAAACGTCATGCAATCATTCAACCATCTAACAACTAACCGACAACTCTTACCATCAGATCCTAGATCATAGTGCTGGAACCCCTCCCAGTAATCAGCATAGCCATGGTCCTCTTGCTCTTGGTGGTCGAACCAGCCACTGTCCGCACTGACCGGCTCGTCGTCCGGCAAGTCGTGAGATTCAGGATACTGTTCATCGCTGAGGTTATCAGCATTTAAGTTGTCTCCAGCCATTTGGTTGAGTTGGAACGGGTCATCGTCGACAGCCTGTTCGTTCAAGATAACCTCCTGAGGCAGGAAAACGTGCTCGTTGTTGGTATCATCTTGAAAGTACACTATTTGTTCGTTTTGTACATCTTCTGCGTACAAAACTTGTTCATAAAGAGCATCATCATGTAAGTACACATATCGTTCAGTTTCTGCATCTTCTTCAACGTAAAGATCCTCGCCGGGAGCATCTTTCTTTAAGTAGACAATCTGCTCGCCGAGAGCATCTTCGTGCATGGACACCGTGTGCCCATCATAAGAGTCTTCTTGTCTGTAGATGATTTGATGTCTGAAAGTGTCCTCAGGTAAGCACACATGTTTCTCAATGTTTACATCTTGTGTGTAGACAACTTGCTCGTCGAGAGCATTCTCTTGTATGTGCATAGTTTGATCCCTGAGAGGATCTTCATGCATGTACACAATCTGTTCGCTTCTTGCATCTTCTTTGAACACAATTTTCTCTTCAATGGCCTCTTTACCGTGTACACTTTGTTGGTACAACAAACCTTGTCCGTGCACAGTTTGTTTGTACAAAGAATCTTGTCCGTGCACAATTCGCAGGCCAGGAGCGTCCTCGCGCTGATAGACATAAAAATCGACGAGTGAATTGTAATCGTTGTCCGGGCAACTGATGCATGGCACGGTGGCGTCATTGCCACACTCTTGGCATATTTGCTTTTGGCACCATAATCCCATTGATCGGTATCTTCTGACAAGACATCGTAAGAAATAAATTCCGGGTTGGTGATTTGCCAGAGGTGTTGATCTCCGTATGGGTCGTTGGTTTCTCTGAGCTCAAGCATGTCGTCACAGTCGGAGTCCCACTCATCGCCTGATGGTGAGCTGTCCGTTTCTTCTGGGTCTCTGGTAAAGAGCTGGTCAGTTTGAGAATCCAGCCAATAGTGGATTAAAGAATAGCTCGGATGAGGTCCTGTGAGAGCGAAAGACAGGGGAAATTAGTAAAGACCTAGATTTCAGTAAAATTTGAGATCACGAGAGAGAGAGAGAGAGAGAGAGAGAGAGAGAGAGAGAGAGAGAGAGAGAGAGAGAGGGGGGGGTGAACGGACAAAGTAGTGGATAATAATTCAGTTGAAAGCATGGAGTGGAGAGAGAAAAAGATAGAGGCGACAGTAAAGTACTGGATTTACTCTAGATGGGGGGGGGGGAGGGGAAGAGGGGGAGAGATAGAGACGGAAGAGACAGAAAATAAGGTTAAACTACTAGATTATAATTCAGTTTAGATCCATGGTGGGCGCTTGGTGAAGAGGCAAGAAGGATATCCCAACTGAGATCCTGTGAAATAAAAGAGTACTAGGAACGAGAGATGGAGATAAATTATTAAATGTGAGAGAGTGTGTGTAGAGTAGCTATAGATAATTACAGATAGAGTGACGATAGAAACACTGGCAGGCGAAAATGAGGAGGAGCAGAAGAAGAAGAAAAAGAAGAAGAAGAAGAAGAAGAAGAAGAAGAAGAAGAAGAAGAAGAAGAAGAAGAAGAAGAAGAAGAAGAAGAAGAAGAAGAAGAAGAAGAAGAAGAAGAAAAAGAAGAAGAAGAAGAAGAAGAAGAAGAAGAAGAAGAAGAAGAAGAAGAAGAAGAAGAAGAAGAAGAAGAAGAAGAAGAAGAAGAAGAAGAAGAAGAAGAAGAAGAAGAAGAAGAAGAAGAAGAAGAAGAAGAAGAAGAAGAAGAAGAAATAAAGAAAGAAAGTGAAATAAAGGAAAACAGAAAAAGTAAGAAAGGAAAGAGGAAAGGAAGAAAGGTGCATAAAAAGTGCTATTATTTATCTACATATCTATCTGATTGTCTTTCTATGTATCAAGTCCATAAGAGAACCCCGGTAGAGCAGCATCTTCCACTGTCTCCTGTCTCTCTGGCGGTCATGTATTCAAACTCCCTCCCAATCGAAGATTGTTGCAATGGCCTTGACCCCCAGTAGCAACAAACCTAAAACTCTTACCATGAAACTTACTGCGACATAAATATGGTCTGTGTGATACTGGCTATTTCATCATTCAAGTGCACATTTTTTGTAATAAAATTTGAAGCTAGGTCCGTTAAACATAAGGGGAAAAAAGATCATTTTGTGGGGAAAAAAGTCAATTAATTTAGTTCCTTTAAATTGTACAACAACGTGGTCATCGTCATCAATCTATTGTGCTACCATGTGTCACATAGGGCTCGCAGTCTGTCCTTCCATTCCGTTCTAATATGTGCCATCCTTTTGTTATCATTGGTGGAATCCAGGCCAACATCGTTAGCCTCTCTCATAAACGTTCGTTTTAATGTTGCTCTTGGGCGACCTCACTGTCTGAGTCTATTTCTATCCAATGTACAACATAGGGAATTGTTACGATACTGAGCCTGGGACACTTCAGAATATAACATATTGAGCTAACATGAATACAGAGAAGGATAACTCCATTAGAAGTGACACATACATATAAAGTAACATATTTCACATATAACATGGGCAGACACTACAATACACCACACACAAAATACCTTGAGATTCCATCTTTTCGATGTTTACAGTAACAAGCTGCTTGATCTCACAAGATTGTGCCTTCGATAGCAATATAACAGTAGACTCCTTCAGAATGAATAATAAAATCCTTCAGGAATAACACTACAGTAGCACGAATGCACAAGCCAACACGTAGACGGTTACAAAAAGCTCTTCCAGTGATACGACTTGGAGTTAATCAGACAAGGTACTTTATATAATAGGACATCCAGGCCACACCTATAGGCATCCGCTGTAATTTGGAGCAAACGATTTGTCTGCTTCGGTGACAACTGATACAAGAAACCCTAATGATTGGTTTCATGACACCATGAACAAGTTGAAAGAGCATAATGTCAATATTGCGCAATTGGCGTGGGACTGGACCGCTCTGTCCCTATTCACTTACTTATCATCACCTATTGTTTTCATGGCAGTTCTCAGGCCTAGCTTCCAGTCGTTGCCCACTGTCGTTAGGTACCCTTTGTTTTGTCTATCGGACCCCGCGCAAGTGGCAGGATGATCAAAGAGTGGTTGGAGCGCTTGTATGACGACGATACAACAACACACCGGCAGCGGCACACCACAAGAGAGTTCATCCCTGTCTAAAACACGACCGCCCCTGTCAGAGAACAATTGTGTCAGTTTTCTTTATTCTCTCAGCTCTGGACCAAATGGGATGGGGGTAGATCTTCTGGACAATATTTACATAACTTCAAACTTTCTAGAAAGTCGTCGGTTTCAAAAAACGCCAGAGAGTTGACACGGTGTGGCGGTTTAATTCTGCCTTTCTGTTTGTTTTGAAGGTTAACCTTGAGAACTGGTAATTGATATTATTTGTCAGCATATACAGGGAATATTTAGAATACAGATTGAAGATCTAGAAAAACGAGCAGAGAGACACCAAAAACCAAGCCAGAAATATTAGTTTGCTACAGAATAAAATAAAACAGGATCGTTTCCATATCCTTAAAGGACATTAGGGGTCTGTTTTGTTAACTCCATATTTGTTATAGACTGGTCTTCTCTTGATAAGTAATGTTTTAAATCACCTCTGTCACATTTACTTCACATAACGTTTTCTGTTATTCATAGCGGCCTGATCGATCAATAAATCAGCATCGTTGAGGCTTCGAACCTATCGGGCTGACATGCCAGCCTGCTAGCCACTTGGCTAAAGCGGCTCTCCTGCCTTTACTTCCCCTCCACTAGACTGTTCTCTCGTTTTGTACCAGTCTTCTTCTTCTTCTTTAGCTTCTCGATCACTGTTTGTAAACTACGGTGTTAGTTTTGGTTGTTCGTCCACTTGTGAACTTTGGCTTTGGTCCAGAACTGGTGTTATGCATTTACATTTGTTATACAGATATCTATTATCTGTATGCAGAATGTTCTTTCTTCCTTTCTTCACCTTTCTGGTAGATGCTCTCCGACTTCGAAGGAAACATTCTAACTAGTCTCGACTTTTACAACATGTTTGTTAGGCAGGAAATTGGTCTTTTCTAAACTGCTTCTCATTAACACTGGCCCGGAACCCAAGTGATGAGATAATGCTAACAAGACACACAGCAACAAACAGAGGCCCGGAACCCAAGTGATGAGATAATGCTAACAAGACACACAGCAACAAACAGAGGCCCGGAACCCAAGTGATGAGATAATGCTAACAAGACACACAGCAACAAACAGAGGCCCGGAACCCAAGTGATGAGATAATGCTAACAAGACACACAGCAACAAACAGAGGCCCGGAACCCAAGTGATGAGATAATGCTAACAAGACACACAGCAACAAACAGAGGCCCGGAACCCAAGTGATGAGATAATGCTAACAAGACACACAGCAACAAACAGAGGCCCGGAACCCAAGTGATGAGATAATGCTAACAAGACACACAGCAACAAACAGAGGCCCGGAACCCAAGTGATGAGATAATGCTAACAAGACACACAGCAACAAACAGAGGCCCGGAACCCAAGTGATGAGATAATGCTAACAAGACACACAGCAACAAACAGAGGCCCGGAACCCAAGTGATGAGATAATGCTAACAAGACACACAGCAAACAAACAGAGAGCCCGGAACCCAAGTGATGGGAACATGCAAACAAGACACACAGCAACAAACAGAGGCCCGGAACCCAAGTGATGAGATAATGCTAACAAGACACACAGCAACAAACAGAGGCCCGGAACCCAAGTGATGAGATAATGCTAACAAGACACACAGCAACAAACAGAGGCCCGGAACCCAAGTGATGAGATAATGCTAACAAGACACACAGCAACAAAACAGAGGCCCGGAACCCAAGTGATGAGATAATGCTAACAAGACACACAGCAACAAACAGAGGCCCGGAACCCAAGTGATGAGATAATGCTAACAAGACACACAGCAACAAACAGAGGCCCGGAACCCAAGTGATGAGATAATGCTAACAAGACACACAGCAACAAACAGAGGCCCGGAACCCAAGTGATGAGATAATGCTAACAAGACACACAGCAACAAACAGAGGCCCGGAACCCAAGTGATGAGATAATGCTAACAAGACACACAGCAACAAACAGAGGCCCGGAACCCAAGTGATGAGATAATGCTAACAAGACACACAGCAACAAACAGAGGCCCGGAACCCAAGTGATGGGAACATGCAAACAAGACACACAGCAACAAACAGAGGCCCGGAACCCAAGTGATGAGATAATGCTAACAAGACACACAGCAACAAACAGAGGCCCGGAACCCAAGTGATGAGATAATGCTAACAAGACACACAGCAACAAACAGAGGCCCGGAACCCAAGTGATGGGAACATGCAAACAAGACACACAGCAACAAACAGTGGCCAGGAACCCAAGTGATGAGATAATGCTAACAAGACACACAGCAACAAACAGAGGCCCGGAACCCAAGTGATGGGAACATGCAAACAAGACACACAGCAACAAACAGTGGCCAGGAACCCAAGTGATGAGATAATGCTAACAAGACACACAGCAACAAACAGAGGCCCGGAACCCAAGTGATGGGAACATGCAAACAAGACACACAGCAACAAACAGTGGCCAGGAACCCAAGTGATGAGATAATGCTAACAAAACACACAGCAACAAACAGAGGCCCGGAACCCAAGTGATGAGAACATGCAAACAAGACACACAGCAACAAACAGAGGCCCGGAACCCAAGTGATGAGAGCATGCTAACAAGACACAGAGCAACAAACAGTGGCCAGGAACCTAAGTGATGAGAACATGCAAACAAGACACAGCAACAAACAGAGGCCCGGAACCCAAGTGATGAGAGCATGCAAACAAGACACAGAGCAACAAACAGTGGCCAGGAACCCAAGTGATGAGAACATGCAAACACCAACACACAAGCAACAAACAGAGGGCCCGGAACCCAAGTGATGAGAGCATGCAAACAAGACACAGAGCAACAAACAGTGGCCAGGAACCCAAGTGATGAGAACATGCAAACAAGACACAGCGCAACAAACAGTGGCCAGGAACCCAAGTGATGAGAACATGCAAACAAGACACAGACACAGCAACAAACAGAGGCCCGGAACCCAAGTGATGAGAGCATGCAAACAAGACACAGAGCAACAAACAGTGGCCAGGAACCCAAGTGATGAGAACATGCAAACAAGACACACAGCAACAAACAGAGGCCCGGAACCCAAGTGATGAGAGCATGCAAACAAGACACAGAGCAACAAACAGTGGCCAGGAACCCAAGTGATGAGAACATGCAAACAAGACACAGCGCAACAAACAGTGGCCAGGAACCAAAGTGATGAGAACATGCAAACAAGACACAGACACAGCAACAAACAGAGGCCCGGAACCCAAGTGATGAGAGCATGCAAACAAGACACAGAGCAACAAACAGTGGCCAGGAACCCAAGTGATGAGAGCATGCAAACAAGACACAGAGCAACAAACAGTGGCCTAGAACCCAAGTGATGAGGGCATGCAAACAAGACACAGAGCAACAAACAGTGGCCTAGACCCAAGTGATGAGAGCATGCAAACAAGACACAGAGCAACAAACAGTGGCCTAGAACCCAAGTGATGAGAGCATGCAAACAAGACACAGAGCAACAAACAGTGGCCAGGAACCCAAGTGATGAGAGCATGCAAACAAGACACAGAGCAACAAACAGTGGCCAGGAACCCAAGTGATGAGAGCATGCAAACAAGACACAGAGCAACAAACAGTGGCCAGGAACCCAAGTGATGAGAGCATGCAAACAAGACACAGAGCAACAAACAGTGGCCAGGAACCCAAGTGATGAGAGCATGCAAACAAGACACAGAGCAACAAACAGTGGCCAGGAACCCAAGTGATAAGAGCATGCAAACAAGACACAGAGCAACAAACAGTGGCCTAGAACCCAAGTGATGAGAACATGCAAATAAGACACAGAGCAACAAACAATGGCCCGGAACCCAAGTGATGAGAGCATGCAAACAAGACACAGAGCAACAAACAGTGGCCCGGAACCCAAGTGATGAGAACATGCAAACAAGACACAGAGCAATAAACAGAGGCCCGGAACCCAAGTGATGAGAACATGCAAACAAAACACACAGCAACAAACAGTGGCCCGGAACCCAAGTGATGAGAACATGCAAACAAGACACAGAGCAACAAACAGCAGCCCGAAACCCAAGTGATGAGATAATGCTAACAAAACACAGAGCAATAAACAGTGGCCTGGAACCCAAGTGATGAGAACAATAAAATCTTTCTGACCTAGTAATTGTCTCAAACTGTAGACACACAACCAGTTATTGTATTAGACTCCATGAACATGCTACAGAAGATAGCAACAGGCGGTATGAGCTCTGAATGGGCAGAAAGCATTCAAAAATCGCACTTAACCTCCCTCACCTGGATCTACACATGCATCAACGCATGTGGGAAGAAGCATGGACAGAGCAGATATCGTCAATGCTGTATTGAATGGGCTAGTGGATAATGACGAATCTCTGACACTAACGCGATTGTGTGACATGTGAGTAAAACATGGTCAAGCACGTCTATGTCGCCTTCAAAGCCGCTATAGGAGACAGTATAACCAGCTTTTCATGAGAACAATTAGTAGTAATACCTGCTGCATCCGAGGACTGAGCATGCATGGGAATGCCCAAAGTACAGTGACGTCCATTGTGACAACATATGACTTCCTAGTGAACACATTCCAAGTTGCTTTCTACAAATTTGATTATTTTTCATTACTAGTTTCTCTTTTAACTCGCCTTCAGTGCAGGCAAAATACATTTTTCTCCTCACAGATCAACCCACCTAAAACAAATGTCAGGAAATGTCCTGGAAAGTAAAGGGAGCCTGTATTATGTACATTTGCAGGATCACTGAGCCATTTTGTTCAGTTTTCTTTAGTGATATTTTGTTTGCAGCAAGATATGTCTTTACTGAAAGGCAGCATTTTAAGAAGTAACACTCAGAAATTAAAGGAACAATTAATATTCAAAATATCATAATGTTTTAATAGATTCGTTTATTTCAAAGTATCCAATGATTATGTATAAATAGTAAGTAAAATAAAAAAAAAATATTCAAAATATCATAATGTTTTAATAGATTCGTTTATTTCAAAGTATCCAATGATTATGTATAAATATTAAGTAGAATAGAAAAAAAAAAAAGAATAAAAAAAATTAGTTATCACATACCCATCATTGTCATTTTGTGGAACAATAAAACATACAACAAACCCTGAAATACCATCCAGGGCACTTGTGCAAACCTTGTGGTGTGTTGGCTACATGGTACTAATTCCATCTATATTTTTGAGTTGCTGGTCCCGTTATCTTTAAATGACCTTGGCTCCCAGGTCGACCCAGCCTGAAGTGGGTACCAAGTGAAGTCCTGGGAAGTAAAGGCAGCCAGCGTGCTGTTGACCACATCACTGACTGATCATGTTCGATTGATCTATAAAATGTCGGTCTAGCCCTATATGCCCAATACCCCTGAGGGCATGGAAAAGGTTTCTTTACTTAAATAGATAGACAGATAGACAGATCAGATAGATAGATTACAAAGATAGATTACATAGATAGATTATACAGATAGGTTACATAGATAGATTACATAGATAGATTACATAGATAGATAGATTACATAGACAGATAGATTACATAGATAGATAGATTATATAGATAGATAGATTACATAGATAGATTACATAGATAGATAGATTACATAGACAGATAGATTACATAGATAGATTACATAGATAGATAGATTACATAGATAGATAGATAGATAGATTACATAGATAGATAGATTACATAGACAGATAGATTACATAGACAGATAGATTACATAGATAGATAGATTACATAGACAGATAGATTACATAGAATATAGACACTAGATGATTACAATAAGAATCAGCATAGTATGTTATCCTGCCTTGTGGGTGATCATGCAGCTTCACAACTCCATTTCTCTGGCTAGAAATCACAAGTTGATATGTTTAACAAGCTCTAAAGCTATTGAGTTGTCTTGCTAGTTTTTTCCCCTGCCATTAATCACAACAAATGTTACATCACATTAAAGCTTATTTTCATAAAGGTCAGTTCACACAGATAAATTAAAAACTGTATACAAATATGTCGGATTTTTTTGCAAAAAATTATCTAAAAACAATCAATTAAAATCATCTTTTAGTCTGCCCAAAAAATCTGGGTAAAAAATACACCCAAACAACACCAAAAGCTTTTTTTATTGTAACTGCTCTGGTAAGATCAAGTTGTGTAATAATATGTCATCCCTTTGTGTACCATATTTAAAACAATCATTTAAAAATTATCTTTTAGTAAATAAAAACAAAATCTGTGACCCAAGAAAAGAAAATAAACAGCAACAACCACAGGTAAAGTCCTTTCCACTTCAGTGACGTTAGCAAACACTGGAGTTGACTGTATGAGCTGTGGCATCTTTTTATTTGATTGACATCATTTTCCGAATTATGTCAATGCAATATTTTTTCACAATCCTGAAATGAACAGGGCAAAATGAATTAAGTACAAGATAGATCGATTTTCTCTTTTTCTCACTATCTATCTATCTATCTATCTATCTATCTATCTATCTATCTATCTATCTATCTATCTATCTATCTATCTATCTATCTATCTATCTATCTATCTATCTATCTATCTATCTATCTATCTATCTATCTATCTATCTATCTATCTATCTATCTATCTATCTATCTATCTATCTATCTATCTATCTATCTATCTATCTATCTATCTATCTATCTATCTATCTATCTATCTATCTATCTATCTATCTATCTATCTATCTATCTATCTATCTATCTATCTATCTATCTATCTATCTATCTATCTATCTATCTATCTATCTATCTATCTATCTATCTATCTATCTATCTATCTATCTATCTATCTATCTATCTATCTATCTATCTATCTATCTATCTATCTATCTATCTATCTATCTATCTATCTATCTATCTATCTATCTATCTATCTATCTATCTATCTATCTATCTATCTATCTATCTATCTATCTATCTATCTATCTATCTATCTATCTATCTATCTATCTATCTATCTATCTATCTATCTATCTATCTATCGATCGATCGATCGATCGATCGATCGATCGATCGATCGATCGATCTATCTATCTATCTATCTATCTATCTATCTATCTATCTATCTATCTATCTATCTATCTATCTATCTATCTATCTATCTATCTATCTATCTATCTATCTATCCATCCCTCCCCCCCCTCCCTCCCTCCCTCCCTCTCTCTCTCTCTCCCTCCCTCCCTCCCTCCCTCCCCCTCTCTCTCTCTCTCTCTCTTTCTCTTCTAGTCTCCCATTGTAATAAGTTTGTGATTGTAGTGTAAAGAAGAGAGAAAAAGACACTAGGAGAGAGACTGTTGTGGGACATTCTCTTCATCCTTCTCCTTCCTCTTCTTCACCTTCTAGTTCTTTAACACATGTTTCCTGGCAAGCTTATCAGATATTGATGGATGTATTTAGTGTATGTGCATACCTCCCCAAGTGTTCAGTCACTCTCACAGATCTCCCATGCATACCTCCCCAAGTGTTCAGTCACTCTCACAGATCTCCCATGCATACCTCCCCAAGAGTTCAGTCACTCTCACAGATCTCCCATGCATACCTCCCCAAGAGTTCATTGACTCTCACAGATCTCCCATGCATACCTCCCCAAGAGTTCAGTCACTCTCACAGATCTCCCATGCATACCTCCCCAAGAGTTCAGTCACTCTCACAGATCTCCCATGCATACCTCCCCAAGAGTTCAGTGACTCTCACAGATCTCCCATGCATACCTCCCCAAGAGTTCAGTGACTCTCACAGATCTCCCATGCATACCTCCCCAAGAGCTCAGTGACTCTCACATATCTCCCATGCATACCTCCTCAAGAGTTCAGTCACTCTCACAGATCTCCCATGCATATCTCCCCAAGAGTTCAGTCACTCTCACAGATCTCCCATGCATACCTCCCCAAGAGTTCAGTGACTCTCACAGATCTCCCATGCATACCTCCCCAAGAGTTCAGTGACTCTCACATATCTCCCATGCATACCTCCTCAAGAGTTCAGTCATTCTCACAGATCTCCCATGCATATCTCCCCAAGAGTTCAGTCACTCTCACAGATCTCCCATGAATACCTCCCCAAGTGTTCAGTCACTCTCACAGATTTCCCATGCATATCTTAACAAGTACTCCAGTGCTCTGAAGGTTCTCAGTTCAATTCCAGACTTCACCATCTGGTTCATGGGCTCCATTTATTCAGAGGTCTTTCAGTGTCATACTTTACAGATGAGGTCAACTCAAGGCCATGAAATTCATCCAGTCATCTTTAATTTGTACTAAGTAAATCTTCTTTCTTCTTCTTCACACTCACTGGCTGTAAACTCTAGCAGAAAGCTCTGGTTGTTTGTCCACTTCTGTTCCAGAACATGAGTGTTGTGTGCACATCTGCTTTACAGATCATACTCATGTGTATGTAGACTGTTGGTTCCTTGCTCTCATTCTAATGCACTCTGACCTTGAAGGAAGCTCCCAATTAGTCGACTCTTACAACAAGGTTTTGGGTAAGCAGTGGGTCTATTCTTGTTTACCCCACAGTGAGGCCCCAGATCCAACATGAGAAACTGAGTAAATCTATTTATAGTTGCCAAGGGTAAACAGCGGTAAACTCACCAGCGTGCAAAATCAGGGAAGTACTGAAACAGGTACATGAAGACCAGCGATGGATTTTCAGAAATCCAAGCCTCGTAGAGTTTGTTAGCGATAGCCACAGCACTGAGGTAGGCGCAGCGGTCTGTAGGCATCAACTTTCCAGGAGTTATTGGACTACTACTGACCTTTTGAAAATAAAAAATTAGTTGATGTGGACAACAAATACCATTTTCATATTGTAAACATATGGTCTTTTTTTGCTGGTCAAAATGGAAGATAGTCATGTTCAATATTTTTAGTTGTGGCAAATTTGTGTTTCTGACAGAGTGTGGCCATTACATTTGCCTCCATTTTTAGACTGAAAGGACATAGTTTTGTCACCCAGGAACTGAACTGAGTGAATAGCACAATTGTAAGTTGTAGATTTCATTTAGAATGTTTTTCGACTGTGACCAACTTGGTTTTTGTTGTGAACTGTAGATTTTTAAAAAATGGCAAGCGGCCTTTCGCCACAAAACTGGTGGTGCCTTATGTGATTAAAATTGATTGCATGTGCAGAGTCTGTTGGTAGCTGCTGCTTCTGTCGATGACGAACTGCATTTCTAATATCGGACTGTTTGTGTTAGCACTTCTGATGGCTGTCTTATGCTGTTAATGTGTGTGTATGCTAATGGATGTGCTGAGACTGCAGTCTGTGTAAATTTTTCCACAAGAGACTGATGAACATTCTGTGTGTTTTTCATTGGCACAAGAGCGGAGCAACTATGGAGTGACCCGTTGGCTATGAAGCTGAAACTAAGATTACCAATTTGCCAGCTTTCTTTTTTAATCACAGGAAAATACAATAGTATGGACATGTCACAAGATCTACCAGTCCCTCAAAACTTGTAAAACAGGGCATGGTGGAGAAAAAGAAGAGAAGAGGAAGACAAAGCCAGACCTGGTTAAAGAATATGGCTCAGTGGACAAGCCTCAATTACACTAACATCAGGTCCATGGCATCAGGTCCGCGGCAAGTTCTTGTTGATCGTCCAAGTCTAGACTTTAGTCTTGTTGCAGTTCTGCATGCATGTCTGTTTTACAGATCTGGCTTATTTGTATGCAGATTATTGGTTTCTTGCTTCTTAGGCAGATGTACTCTGACTTTGAAGTAAGCCTCCAATTAGTCGACTCCTACGACGTGCTTGTTGGGGAGGCAGTGGATATATTCTTGTTTTCCTCATAGTAGTGTCACGGAACCCACACGGGAAGCTTAGATATCTGATTCATGACAAAATCTGGTTTTACGAAGGTGAGGGTGCCACCCCCACAGTTCAACCACCAACCTACAAGATCTTAACCCCCAACCTACAGGATCTCAACCCCCATCAACCTACAGGATCTCAACCCCCCCCCCCCCAACCTACAGGATCTCAACCCCCCCCCCCCCAACCTACAGGATCTCAACCCCCCCCCCCAACCTACAGGATCTCAACCCCCCCCCCCCTAACCTACAGGATCTCAACCCCCCTCCCCAACCTACAGAATCTCAACCCCCCCCCCCCTCCCAACCTACAGGATCACAACCCCCCCTCCCCCCACCTACAGGATCTCAACCCCCCTCCCCCCACCTACTGGATCTCAACCCCCCCTCCCCCCACCTACAGGATCTCAACCCCCCCTCCCCCCACCTACAGGATCTCAACCCCCCAACCTACAGGATCTCAACCCCCCCACCTACAGGATCTCAACCCCCCCTCCCCCCACCTACAGGATCTCAACCCCCCCTCCCCCCACCTACAGGATCTCAACCCCCCAACCTACAGGATCTCAACCCCCCCACCTACAGGATCTCAACCCCCCCCACCTACAGGATCTCAACCCCCCAACCTACAGGATCTCAACCCCCCCACCTACAGGATCTCAACCCCCCAACCTACAGGATCTCAACCCCCCAACCCTACAGGATCTCAACCCCCCAACCTACAGGATCTCAACCCCCCAACCTACAGGATCTCAACCCCCCTACCTACAGGATCTCAACCCCCCCACCTACAGGATCTCAACCCCCCAACCTACAGGATCTCAACCCCCCCACCTACAGGATCTCAACCCCCCCACCTACAGGATCTCAACCCCCCAACCTACAGGATCTCAACCCCCCAACCTACAGGATCTCAACCCCCCAACCTACAGGATCTCAACCCCCCCACCCTACAGGATCTCAACCCCCCCACCTACAGGATCTCAACCCCCCCACCTACAGGATCTCAACCCCCCCACCTACAGGATCTCAACCCCCCAACCTACAGGATCTCAACCCCCCAACCTACAGGATCTCAACCCCCCAACCTACAGGATCTCAACCCCCCCCCCTCCCCCCACCTACAGGATCTCAACCCCCCCTCCCCCCACCTACAGGATCTCAACCCCCCAACCTACAGGATCTCAACCCCCCAACCTACAGGATCTCAACCCCCCAACCTACAGGATCTCAACCCCCCCCTCCCCCCAACCTACAGGATCTCAACCCCCCAACCTACAGGATCTCAACCCCCCCCCCTCCCCCCACCTACAGGATCTCAACCCCCCAACCTACAGGATCTCAACCCCCCCCCTCCCCCCACCTACAGGATCTCAACCCCCAACCTACAGGATCTTAACCCCCAACCTACAGGATCTTAACCCCCAACCTACAGGATCTTAACCACCAACCTACAGGATCTTAACCACCAACCTACAGGATCTTAACCACCAACCTACAGGATCTTAACCACCAACCTACAGGATCTTAACCACCAACCTACAGGATCTTAACCACCAACCTACAGGATCTTAACCACCAACCTACAGGATCTTAACCACCAACCTACAGGATCTTAACCCCCAACCTACAGGATCTTAACCCCCAACCTACAGGATCTTAACCCCCAACCTACAGGATCAGTTTTTCTTTATTTCTTCTCTGCCCTTTGACCTGTCCGACTTAGGGAGGTCCTGGCATAACTTTCAGTGTCATTGAGAAGCACAAACTCCTCCATCGTAACACAATAATACAAGAACTAGCATAAATATAATGCAACTGTAAGAAAAAGAAATCTGACCTCTCCCAATTTTCCAGTGACGGCAACATAAGAAATGTTTGACGCCACAGGCCCTGGGCACAAGATTGTCACATCAATGTTGTGCTCACCCATCTCTGTGCGCAGACTTTCAAAATAACCCTAAAAAACATACAAAACAAATATTTTTAACTCTCTCCCTTTTAGTGAAGCTTAACACATTTTTGTTATACCAGTCAGTGAATCAGTCTTCAGAGCAGAGGCAACTGCCCTCCTTTCAGGCATGCAGACCCTTAATAGTCAAGTGGAATTGACTAATAAAACTCATATTCACAAACTTGAAATCAGTCCTCCGAGCCACCTCATACTCCAAAAAATGCATCGTCAACAACCAAATTAAAAACAACATCAGAATGCTGTTCACAAGAACTGAACTAACTCTGCAGTGGGGACTGGCCTACTGTGGTATTCTTGAAAATGAAAAGGTGGACAAGCCTGTAAAGACCACACCCGCCCGCCCGCCTGCCCGCACACACACACATTGTGATTGTAACTGACTAAGAAAGCATGCTGATTAAGATCAGGACAGGTATGCTAGGTGCAGAGTGGCATGCTTCGCTGCGGAGGACACGGGTGAGAAGTATTGCCATTGAGTTAACCGTATGTGTCGATTGCTCCCCACCAAATATATGGTTGACACATTCCGTTTCTGGGGACAGCTTTTATCGAGTTTGCTCTCTAGACAGTTGCAGTCCCCTGCTGATGAGATTCTGTCTTCCCAAGTGGACCGCCGCGATCAAAACATTGTACAGGCAGCGTGGTCGAGGCTGCCAAAACTATCAGTTATTATCCCACCCAGACATAGCACAACCACATCACACGCTGTTCCCACGGAAAACACATAGTATCCTGCGTTGAAAATGTGCACAAAATAGCAGTCCATGATTATGAAACAGAACAATCGAGAGAATTGACAGCCAGCAAAAATAAACACTGCTGCTATCCACCATTTTGAAAACGGAAGCCGTGTTGGGAAATGAACAGGCGGACAGACTGTGTGGCTCTTCACTGCTTGGTGGAATACTGATACATAATAAGGCAGACGTGGTTAATGCCTTGTGGGAGAGCGTGTACAGCTTGGAGGAGCAGACAGATCACCACAATCTGGTGAGACTGATGCAGGGGGGAGTGAAGAGAGGTTCTGGCAGATGCTCAAGGCTCAGAGGAAAGGCAAGACTGATGTTTAATCAGAATGCTACTAGCACTATTAGTATCGGAACTCTTCGCTGGCTGCTGAAGATAAGGACGGAGTGCTTATAGGAATGCCCCGAATGCTGTGATGACGGTTCTTGAATCAAATCAAATCAATCTGTGACAACTAGTTCAACAAACAGGCATGCTAACTAACCATATCTCTCTTGGTAAATGTTGCGGTGACAGTAACAAGCCAGTAACACAAATGTGGAGCACTTACATTGACTGCATGTTTAGAAGCCGTATATGATCTCAGGTATGGGGAACCTGTAACAGAAATGTCAAAGTTACAGTCAGTCTCTGATTATTGTCATTAACTATTATCTATAATTGTTGCCTGTAATTGTTGTCTATAATTGTTGTCTATAATTGTTGTCTATAATTATTGTTGTAATGATGCTATAAACAGGTGTAACGTAAGTTGTCTGACTGGTTGACAGAACTAGGAAAGTCCCCAGAATGAGAGACATGAAGTTAACGTGAGAATAGCAAAACACGAGAATGTGTGAGCTCACCTGGAACCACAAGATCTGGGGGAAAGTCATTCTGGGACAGGACCCCAGAGAGATAGGAGCAAAAATGGAGCCAGAGTGAAATGAAGTAATCGTTGATCCTGAATGGCAAGGAGTGCACTTAGTTATCAAGAAAAAAAATCACAGATAAAGTGTACATTTTTATAATAATATCATGCGTAGCCGCAAAACTGTCTTGGTGCCATCTTGGTTTTCCAGAATGTGCTTGGCCAGAGTGCAGTATCTAGCATGCTTGCCTGCTGGCAGAGTGGTCATGACTTTGAATCCCCATCAAGGCAGGAATTGTTTTTACATAGACCTAAGCTCTAATATAAAATATATTCATACGTTAAAGTTGTAAGCAGACATAAGCTACTTGTTCAGAAGTTGCCAGTTACATAATCTAGCAACTGCCATTTACATTTACTGCCTGTGCATATTTCTGAGTTGTGCTGGACTGACTGTTTGTTCACAAGTTTTTCAAATGGGACAGGGAGGGACATTTCATTTGATTTTCACTGGCACAGGTACGGAGCAAGTATGGGATGACCTGATTGTGGTGAAGTTGAAACCTCAACTACTACTACTACGACTGACAATGACGATGATAGTAATGATGATGGTGATGACAACGATATGATAATGGTCGTGGTGGTGGTGATAATGTTGATGGCGGTGATAGTAGTGATTATGAGGATGAGGAATGTGGTGGCGATGAAGAAGACACTGGCAACGATGACGACGAAATCAATGACTCACTAATCTTTCCAGCCAAACTGCTCACAACTACAATCTGTCCCTGCTTCCTCTGCAACATGTGAGGCAACACCTGCTGTGTCAGAGACACAGGACCCAGAACATTCACCTCAAACAACTGCCGATCCACATCCAGCTCCACCTCCATCCATGGTGACCTCTGACCTCTGCCAGCATTGTTGATGAGAATGTCAATCTGAGGACAAAAGGCGTCATCCCTACATGTTACATGTCAACTGAACATGTCATCAATGCTGGTTAAACTGTGTACTGGTTAAACTGTGTACTGGTTAAACTGTGTACTGGTTAAACTGGGAAAAAACATGTCACTATTGCTAGGTCAACCACAAACACTGGAATATCCATGCACAAATTATAGTGCTGAATGTTCTATAGCAGTTGTAAATTTAAAAACAGCAGGACCAAGCCACAAAAGAATTATTAATAACATATGTAATTCTATATCCTCTTTATATCACTGCTGATACATAAGACAATCACAAAATATCTCCATTTCTGGCCAGTCTGCTGCTGTTCTGACAAGTCTGCTGCTGTTCTGACAAGTCTGCTGCTGTTCTGACAAGTCTGCTGCTGTTCTGACAAGTCTGCTGCTGTTCTGGCTGGTCTGCTGCTGTTCTGACTGGTCTGCTGTTGTTCTAGCCAGTCAGCTGCTGTTCTAGCCAATCTGCTGCTGTTCTAGCCATTCTGCTGCTGTTCTAGCCAGTATGCTGCTGTTCTAGCCAATCTGCTGCTGTTCTGACTGGTCTGCTGCTGTTCTAGCCAATCTGCTGCTGTTCTAGCGAGTCTGCTGCTGTTCTAGCCAGTCTGCTGCTGTTCTAGCCAATCTGCTGCTGTTCTAGCCAGTCTGCTGCTATTCTAGCCAGTCTGCTGCTGTTCTAGCCAGTCTGCTGCTGTTCTAGCCAGTCTGCTGCTGTTCTAGCCAGTCTGCTGCTGTTCTGACTGGTCTGCTACTGTTCTGGTCAGTCTGCTGCTCTTCTAGCCAATCTGCTGCTGTTCTAGCCAATCTGCTGCTGTTCTAGCCAGTCTGCTGCTGTTCTAGCCAATCTGCTGCTGTTCTAGCCAGTCTGCTGCTGTTCTGGCCAGTCTGCTGCTGTTCTAGCCAATCTGCTGCTGTTCTAGCCAATCTGCTGCTGTTCTAGCCAGTCTGCTACTGTTCTGACAGGTCTGCTGCTGTTCTGACAGGTCTGCTGCTGTTCTGACAGGTCTGCTGCTGTTCTGGCCAGTCTGCTGCTGTTCTGACAGGTTTGTTGCTGTTCTAGCCAGTCTGCTGCATCTCTGACATGTCTGCTGCTGCTCTAGCCAGTCTGCTGCTGTTCTGACAGGTCTGCTGCTGTTCTAGCCAGACTGCTGCTGTTCTTACAGGTCTGCTGCTGTTCTGACAGGTCTGCTGCTGTTCTAGCCAGTCTGCTGCTGTTCTGACAGGTCTGCTGCTGTTCTAGCCAGTCTGCTGCTGTTCTAGCCAGTCTGCTGCTGTTCTGGCTGGTCTGCTGCTATTCTGACAGGTCTGCTGCTGTTCTAGCTAATCTGCTGCTGTTCTAGCCAGTCTGCTGCTGTTCTGGCCAGTCTGCTGCTGTTCTGGCCAGTCTGCTGCTGTTCTGACAGGTCTGCTGCTGTTCTGACAGGTCTGCTGCTGTTCCGACAGGTCTGCTTCTTTTCTGACATGTCTGCTGCTGCTCTGACATGTCTGCTGCTGTTCTGACATGTCTGCTGCTGTTCTAGCCAGTCTGCTGCTATTCTAACACGTCTGCTGCTGTTCTGGCTGGTGTGCTGCTGTTCTGACAGGTCTGCTGCTGTTCTGGCCAGTCTACTGCTGTTCTAGCCAGTCTGCTGCTGTTCTGGCTGGTCTGCTGCTGTTCTAGCCTGTCTGCTGCTGTTCTGACAAGTCTGCTGCTGTTCTAGCCTGTCTGCTGCTGTTCTGACAGGTCTGCTGCTGTTCTAGCCAGTCTGCTGCTGGTCTGTGTACGGTATCCCATGTCACTTTTGGCCCACGTCTCCTTTTTCCCTCTTCCTTCCATCGGAAAGCTATGCTTACCAAAGGTCGCAAGATATCTGCAAACATGTGCAAGCCATCTCCAACTTCTTCCTTTGATAATATTTATCAGTGATGAATATTGTTTCCTGTCAGCCTTCCTCTGCTCTGTTTTGGGGGACAGATTATCTATTGAAAATTCTGCAACACTGACAACAATATCTTACAGAACTCAAGAACTTTCTGCACAGCCGGTTTGTGTGATTCAAAGTCCACACAATCAGTGGTAGACCCACACAGTCCCCCCCCCCCCCCTTTCCCCCATAAGGATGTCTTACAAGATGACTAATCTTTTCCTTTAAAGTCAGAGAGCATCTGCTTGAGAGGCAAGGAACCAACAGTCTGCACACAAATAAACCAGATAGGTAAAATGGATGTGCATTTAGAATTCATGTTCTGGAATGAGACCAAAGACCAGAAGTGAACAAACAATCAGTCATCCCCCCCCCCCTTTTTTCCCCCCAGAGTTTACAGGCAGCAAAGGCTAAGAAGAGGAATAAGACCTATAGTAACCAAACCAAACTTGATATCAAACCTAAACCAAACCAAACTTGATATCAAACCTAAAATGTCTGTTATCAGACTCTTACCTTGCTGCAAACATTTCTGTTTCACCTTCTCCAGCTCCTCAGTTCTGCGAGCAGACAGAACCAGCCTGGCCCCAGCCTCGGCCAAACAGTAAGCGATGTATTCCCCAATCCCACTTGAAGCCCCAGTGATCCACACAACCTTCCCTGCCAGGTTGTCTGTAAATTTGTTGACAACAGATATTTTAAAACAGTTAGTTTTTTTAGTTTGGTTATTTCAGTATGTCCAGAATCTCGCTTTTCATAACTTGACTGTGGAAAACTTTATTTTCTAGTATCTTATTTTTTCTTATTTACATTTTAAGGCAGCTGATTTTGTTAAGAAAACCATGAACCAAGATCATGAACAAGATCTGAACACAGATGAAAATAAACTGAAACACAGCATTCATGCAATAGATCTTTTTACACTTGACTGAACCTAGGTTGTTTTTTTTTTTTTAATTTGCTTCAGTCAAGTTCCAAACTAACTGAGTGGGCAGGAAATGTGTTAGCTAATTCACTATCTAATATGGCTTAAATTGTATGTGTTAGCTACTTCACTATCTAATATGCCTTAAATTGTATGGGAACAACATTTAAATGAATATTATCACAACAGATTTACATAAAGATAATTAAGGACAGCTGGTTAACCTGGTTGCTTGCCAAACTTGGCATAAAACATGAGCTTTAAATCTCCATCTGACCTGGCCAGGGCAATGAGCCACACCACAACAGCAACCACAGCTGCTATAGCTAGGAGTGATAACCAGCACACCATATTGTTTCCTGTTGACAAGACAAAACAGCCAATGATGATCTGCAAACAAAACAAAAGTTGAAAATGTTAAACATTCAAAAAGTTAACAAATAAAATAGTTTATAATGTAAACCATAGGGAAAAAAAATTCAAAAGAGTAGTTAAAACATTAAGATTTGGGAAATAAAAATAAATAATTTACAATATTAACATTGCAAATTGAATAAACAGAAGATGTAACATAAAGTGTCTATTTTACAATTAAGATGATACATATGACACAATTATTATCTGTTGTAATTTACATATAATTGATGCAGTATTAAATAACCAAACATTAGATCAACAAACATTTCTGGCGTCTATAAGGACAAGAACTGTGTGTATCCAAACTGTAACCCAGAGGCGTTGAATGCAGCATCTGTAATTATTAATTAAATTCCTTTTACTACTAAAACGACACTGATGAATATGTTAAGAGAGGAATCGAGCATCTATGGATGTTTCCAGAGTGCTGTGAAGATAATCTAACTCATATATACAAAAACATCCCATTCAGGTTGAGTGCCATATATATATATATATATATATATATATATATATATATATATATATATATATATATATATATATATATATATATATATATATATATGGCACTCACCCTGAATGGGATGTTTTTGTCTTTGAATAATTTAGGACGGGTTTTCTGAAGAGTGCCATATATATATATATATATATATATATATATATATATATATATATATATATATATATATATATATATATATATATATATATATATATATATATATAACAAGACTTCTTTGCTGACTTTCTGTACAATCAAAACTAATACAAAGTTTTTATTGTTATTATTAGTATTATTAAAGCTACAAACCGGCATGCAACATGATGATGATTCAACCTTTGACTATGTATAATTATGTAACTTACAGGTACCATATGACCAGTAGATTAACTACCAATGAAATAAAACAATGTTTTATAACAGCAGTTTCAAGTTATGACGTTACAAATACAATAATATATAATATAATATAAGATGCCAAGATAAAAAACGAGCAGAATGATTTTAATAAACAGTTCAAGTTTTGGCTTGCCTTCTCTCAAAGAAACGTCCACCCGACCTGACCTTTGTGTTTGGTAATTTAAAAAATAAAAAACTCGTGGCCCTGCAACGAAACAATTCTACTACAATTCTTTGATGTCATTAGTGCAGGGCTGCCAATGATGGGTTTTTACCCCTCAGATCTGGGTTTTTATTTGACGCCTAGGGTTCAGATTTTGAATCTTGGGTTTTTTACAAAATATATACTTATGTGGGTAAATGTTTTGTTTCGAGACTATAAAATGAGTACTTTTTAACAATCTTGAGTTTTTGTTTTTGTTTATTGTTCTTTGCTTCTGTATTGCTGGGGTTTTTTTTTTTTTGTGGCCAGCTCAACTTGGGATTTGATAACAATCCCATTGGCAGCCCTGCATTGGTGCTCCGGTTTGCGCCTCAGTAGCTGCACAAGCAAAACACAACTGTTCAAGTCCCTTACAAATCCACAATGAAAAGGTTGATTTCATTGTTCTTATTCTCAGGGCTTTTATTTTGGCTGTACGCAGTACTGGCACCTTTTTAAAGAAAACTTCATGTTTTCAGCGCTGCTCTAACGGAAACGGTTACTTTGTGGCGTGTGCTGATAGCTGCTGAAAGAAAGTACTGTTTATTCTGGATTAATCAAGTAACAGAAAGTAGTGTGAACGGCACTCATAGAAAGAAGTAGAAAGATAGAAGAACACACTAGACAACATAAAAATCGAAAGCTATAGTTACCGTAACGGGAATTGAACCTGTCACCTCCAGACGGCGTCTGCGCCTCGCCATGAATACAAGTTTATTCTGGAGAATACTACAACATGTAGTCACACGCACACGCACAAAAGACATTACGTTATTATAAAAATTATACTTGAGATAGAAGTTTCCTGCAGTAGAGTAAAAGGTACACAGGGATGCAAGTGGGAGGTTAACATCAACAGATATAGTATTACAGAAATTACAACCTGGACGAGAGACTAGAGAGAGGGTACGTTGGAGATCTTTTGTGGTCAACTTTCACTGCGGAGATGACACCTGATTAATGGACTGACTGATCCTGCTAGGGGTTGACTGGTGTTGATGACTCGAGTGTTGCAGATCAGACCCACACTCTGACCACCAAGTAGATAACAATATACTCTCTGTTCTTGCCTGCATTACTATGTCAGCTGCCAGTGTGGGTTCCATAACCCTCTTGTATAGATACAAACCAAATGGAGTGGTGTATATATGCAATGTATGTAATATGCATGTCGCAAATGCGAATAATTAAGCGGTTTTGCTTTGAAGTCGGAGTGCATCTGCCTTAGGGGAAAGAAACCAGTAGTCTGCATCCATACACCAGATTACGTAAAACAGATGTGCAGACACAATCCAAGTTCTGAAACAAGACCTCCTTGGCTGGGCGAAAAACGCGAACCTTCCTCTGGAGTTAACAACCGGTGATCACTATGAAGAATCAGACTTACTCGTCGAGTCTGAAGTTCGTTGACAGAAGAAAGGATGGGGACAGAAGTAGGATTGATGCCGCAGGGAAAATCCAGAAAGCTACGTGATGGTACATAGTCCTGTCTGTAAAGCAACGGTCTTCAACCCTTGTTTAGGTAGCGCCCCCGCCCGTGTAAATACAAGGACCCCCTCCCCTCGTTTCGCCCCCAGTTTGGAGAGCAGTGACACAGATGTTACCAGTCTTTTCCTTCACTTTCACTTTACAGCTGCAACGTTTATTTCCTCTTTCGTCTTTCAGTTGTCTCGTGGATCGCCTATGACTACTTCTATTCCTTCCACTGACAAGACATCAAGTGACTGCTTCTCGAAACGTACGTTATAATTCAGCGATTTTGTGTGTTCGTGTAGTTTTTGTTTCATTTGTGTGTGTGCCGATGAAGGCTCTATAACCGAAACGTTCACGTTTTGTTGGTGATATTGTAAAGTTCGCTGATGTGCTTTTCTTTCTGTTTCAGATCTAGTCCTTGTCAGCTCGCGACCACCTGTAGCGTTTTTCCTACAGCCGGTCGTACTCAGCTTTGGGGTGAGTCCGACCAGTCACAACCTCTTAGACACTAATTACAATTATTGTCTTATTAATCGTTAGTTGGATCGTAGGTTACACAGATACGACGGCCGGTTAGCTCAGTTGGTTAGAGCGTCGTGCTAATAACGCGAATGTCGTGGGTTCGATCCCCATACTGGCCAAGCATATTTTTGTTTATGTCAAGTTCTAGCGAAAATACAAAATCGCTATTTCTTCTTCTTCAGCATTCCAAGCCCTTGAGGTTCAGTGCTGCAGAAATCCCCCACCTCCATTCTTCTCCCTGGTTGGCCTTCTCTTTCCAGTTGGTGATACCAAGTGTTTGCAGGTCTCTCTGGGCGGTATCTCTCCATCGTCTTCTTGGTCTGCCTCGTGGTCTATGACCATTGAGGTCGCTTGTGTATACAGTGTCTACCTCTCTGTCCTCCGATATTCTCTCAGTATGCCCCAGCCATTGTAGTCTATTAGCTCTCATGATGCCAGCAATTTGTTTATCATCATTTTTATTTTGTTTTTCTTCAATGAAACGAAGAAAGTATAGTAAGGAAACTATGCTTTTGACTTTATA